ACCAGGCTCCAGGAGCTGATGGGGCGCCTCTGGCTGGGACAGGGCTGTGAGCTGCCAGCGCCCTGCTTCCTGCCGGGCTAGCTCCTGGGCCAGGAAGTCAATCTCATCTTCCAGTCTGGGCTGGGGTGGGCCCTCCCCTGGGGAGGAGAGGGGCCATCAGGTGGAGAGGCCCCCCAGGCCCTCCCTAGCAACATGAGCTGTAGGTGCCCTCCAGAGATGGAGGGACCCATCCTGGAGCCAGTCCCCAGACCTAGGCCTCCCTTCTCCCTCCAGGCCCCTCCCAGACACTGGTGGCCTGAGGACCAGGTACCAGCGGGCAGCCCCTTGTCCTCTCGGGCTGCCATGGTGACAACCGAGGGGAGCTCTCAGTGCGCAGCAGCATTCCCTGGAAAAGTGTGGGTGTGGGCGTGGGCGTGGGCAGGCAAGGGGCAGAGGTGCTAGGGGAACGTGCATAGGCCTGGAGAAGGGCAGGAGTGTCTCTCACCCCACCCATTACCAACAAAGGGGTGGGCAGAACATCGGGACACACATCACTGCACCCCGTCACCTCTGCCAAGAAGGGCAGTGGCTCCCCAAGGAGCGGGGAGAGGCCCCATTCTGTCCCTCCCACCTCCACCAGAAGGTGGGCAGCTGTCTGGGTAGCCCTGGTGGCTGGGCCCCCCTTCTCTCTGTGGTGGGTTCTGTAGGCCAGACAGAGGCTCCACGCAGACCCCCACCACAGCGCCCCCAGAGCAAGCTCTGCCTCTACAGCAGGCCTACAGGCCTCAGCCCCTACTCGGCTCACTGCCAGGAATACGCTCCTCCAGGAAGCCCCTCCCATGGGCCCAGGCTCCTTGGCATCCCCAGCAGCCCTCGGGATTGCCCCATCACCCCTGAGGTCACTCAGCCTCCGGCTGGCCATCCCCACTCTGGGCTCAGGTTGGCAAGCAGGGCACCCCCAGCACACAAGGGGTGAAGAGGGAATGAGAGAAAGGTCATGATGGGGAAGGGGTGCCTGAGGGGTCTGGGGCACTGTGCAGGGACCCAGGCCTGGGGAACTCTGGCCCTGCCTCTTCCAGAATCACCCTACCATTTCGCACCGATACGCCTTGCCTCAGCCCACCACCAGGCTCTGCGCTGGTGCCCTCTGGAAAGGATCACCAGGCCACTGGCGGGTGACGTGAGAGTGCCTGGCATCCCACAGAGCTCAGGGAACCTGGGAGCTGAGGCTGGGGGGCAAATGTGTCAGGGTGACGGAGGGAGGATGTCCTGCTCTCCCGTACCCAGAGGCCGGTGCACCCTGGGCACACAGAGCCCGTGATGGTCCTCCCGGAAGGGCTGAAGGCAGGGCCCACAGATGTGAGCACCTGGGGGGCACCGTGCCCGCCTCTTCAGGGCACAGTCCAGGCTCCCAGGACAGGTGGCCCCATCTGGGAAGGAAGGAAGCAGAGGCAGGTTGAGGTCACGGCCCTTCACAGAGGCAGCACTGTCCCAGGCACCCCTCCCCCACGCCAGGAGCTGGCTAGGCCTGGCCCTGGCCATTGTTCTGGGTAAGCCCTTCCTCCCAACTGCCAGGGTCAGAACCAGGAAGATAAACAGTCCGAAGATTTATCGGAACTTCCCTGCCCCACCCACTCCCCAGAGTCCATTCTCCAGCCCGAGCCCGGCCTCTGTACGGAAACTGACCCTGACTGTCCGGAGCCCGGAGCGCTCCTGGGCTGGGCTGTGCAGCCCTCCACATCCCACCTCTGGTCCCAGTGCCCCAGAGCAAGCCGCTGTCCAGACTGGGAGCCCCAGAGGGTGGGGGCTCAGGTCTCTCTCTGGCTCAGGAGCAGCAAAGGATGCTGGCCACCCACCTCTCCCCGCGTATCAGGTCTGCCCTCCGAAACCCTGACATGCCAACCTATAGCCCGAGACAGCAGAGCCAGAAGGCAGGACAGAGTAAGTGCCTGACCCAGAAGACAGTCACTCCCCCCATGTCCAACCTCTGGCTTGTCACCAGGGCACAGAGGGGCTGCTGGGGTTGAGGAGACCTGGGATGGACTTGGCCAGTCTCACTTGCTTTGGATACAGAATCGGGGCTGGGGTTGCTCCCCAAACCACCACTGCCAGGCACCAAGGAGTCTCTGGGACTTTGGCCAGGCCCAGTTCCTAATTTGGGGCCTAGACCAGTGTCCTATACACACAACCAATGGAACCCATCCTGATACTAGCGGATGGAGGGCAGTGGTCCTCTCTGCCTAAGTTTCCCCTCTGATGCAGAAGGTAAGTTGTCTCAAAGCTAAGGAATGTCCCGAGGCCAGTCACTGGGCAGCAGAGCCAGCAGAGCCGGTGGGATACCCAGCAGGACCATCAATCCTGCTAGGGGAAGTTAGGATGGGGGTACCTCTGGAGGACTGGGACCCCTCTCAGCCAAGGCCCTCACATCGCAGAAGGGCCACTGGGGCCCAGGGTGATGTGGGGGATCAGGGAATGCCCAGATTTGTTCTCCAGGCCTTGACAGGTCTGACTTGGTTTCCATGGTAACCAGACATCCTTGTAGGCATCCCCTCCAGGAAGTTCCAGCAGCCCCATTCTGCATAGTCTGGGTCAGCAGGCACCAATATCAGTGAGCTGGGCCCGGGGTTGGGGCTGGTTAAACATTAAGCCCGTGCCAGCAGGTTTGTCTGGACCCCACCCACCAGCTGGGTGCTGGGGAACCAGGCGCTCCACTCCCTGCCCCTGGTGCTGAGAACCCAGAGTGAACCAGGCCAAGGGTAGGGGCCTGAGGGCCACAGCTGACTCCAGGGTCTGGATTCCAGGGGCCTTCCCATACTCCCAGCCACCCCCAGTCCAGGAAGATGTGGTTGCTGCCTGCTGAGTCCTGGAAAAGTCCCCACTCCAGAGCCTCAGGGTGCAAGAGGAGGTTCCAGGAACAATGGTAGCTGGAGAGTGACTGGTAGCCCACCCCACATCTGGGCATAAAGTCAAGAGCAGCTGGCATGGCACCTGCTCACCCCCAGGGCTCAGCACATTGGCTACAGCCCCTTTTTTCAGGAGGCCCCACCCGGAGGCCCTGGAACAAGGCTCTCAGCAGGCAGCCTCTGCCACCCCCGGCCAGCCAGGCTCTGGCCCTCAGGCCTCCTCAGACACTTCTGGTCATGCCAGCATCCCATCTAGGGTGCTATGCCCAGGAGGAAGCCTGCCTTGCTCTGGCCTCTGAGCCCACACACACAGAACCACATTGCCTAGGTCAGCATTCCAGCATACCCTGAGTCACTTAATTTCCCTGTGCCTCAGTTTTCTCATCTGCAAAACGGGCTAAGAAGAGCACCTCCTTGTGGGGCTGGCTGTCAGGAGAACGGAGTGAATGTGTGGACACAGAGTGTCCCAGTTCAGCCCGCTGGGGCCCTGGGGCCCTGCAGACTGTCTCGGCCTGGAAGGAACCTCAGTGCTCATCTGAGAAGCAGGGAGGGTCTCCCAGGACCCCGAGTTCACTGCACCCTGGGAGGTGCCCCCCAGGGCCGGCCTGGGCACACTTAGGCAGCATGGCCAGGTCCGCCAGGGCGGAGGGTGAGGGAGGGAGCTTGAAACTGGAACAAGCGGTCAGAGACCTTCGGCGCTTTCAGACCCTGATCGCGGCAGCCAAGCAAGACCCGAGCCCAACACCGCGGGAGGCGC